ATTTCATGGGAGAGTGGCTAATATTGGAAGGATTTTGTGCTGCAGAGATGACAGTGTTGAGGAAGAGTGAATGAACTTGAGATGACTTTAGAAGACCCCTCCTAGGCAGTGTTTGTCTAGTTTCTTGTGGGTACAGAGTTGCTTATGCTTAGGAAGAGAAATGCAATTTTGAAATTATTAATAAATTTACTTCATAGGGAACAACATTTTTTTTTTTTACAAAAAGCACACCTAATGTTATGTTGATTTAAAACACCAATCTTGTAAAAATATGAGTTATTTCTCTATCCTAAAAATGAAGCATGTGGTTTGAAGACATATCTGTTGTTGTTTTTTTTTTAATCCAATTACAGTTTACTTCAATATTATATTGTGTTAGTTTAAGGTGTATGGTATAATGGTTAATCATAATACTGAACAAAGGATCCCTCTGAAGACAATTCTGTTAAGTTTATTTTGTGATATCTATAAGTATCTATTGCTGGATATTGAAAATGAGCAGTTGTAGAGACAGCAGCCTAGATGGTTAAAACTAGGCTCAAGTCAATTTCTAACTTGTGCAGTCTGAGCTAAGCAGTTACCTCTTTGGACCTTAGTTTATTTATAAAATAAAGTAGTAGTTAGACTGCCTTTTCTGATTTTTAAAAAAATGTTAGTTCTTTTATAAATCATTGATTTTTTTAAGAGAAAAGATTTCTCATTTTGTAATATTTTGAAGGATCTAAGACACTTGTAGTATTACAAAATTGAATATCAACTCGTGGAATTCAATAATCGTAATCCACTGTGGGGAAAACAAATAGATCGAAGTGAAAAAATAAGTTCTGAATAAGTAAGACTATAACACAAGGTTTCTTAGTTTCTAATTTGTTGCTCTTGCAACAGGATCTAGTTGTATGAACTTTGCCCTAAATAATAATAAGAGAATGGCTCTCTTGACGTCCAATTTCTCGGCTAGAATTCTCTCCAAGTTCACTGTTATGTAAACCCTCAGCTGAGCTTGTCAACTCTTTAAGTACAGTATAGTTTTTAGAACAGATGGTCCCAACCAAAAGAGGTTACCCATGTATTCTGTATTCAAACACGTGCAGATTTTCAGGGTGTGGTATCAGTTGGATATTTGGAGTTAGTGTGAGTTCTGGTCACGTTCATTAGCCCTTTGTATTTAGCTGGGTTGAATTTTGTCATAATTCAGTAATTCATTTTATGGAACTCTGCACACAGACCTTTGATGTTTGCTTATGCTACTAAGGACAATGTTGTATGGCATCATGAGTATCTCATGACTGTCCATGTCCATGGGGCTTTAAAAAACGACCTTCTCACCAGTGTGTACACCTAACACTAGGAGCCTGATTTTATTTTATTTTATCTTATATTATTGAGGCAAACATGGATTACATAGGTAATAGATTGACTTTAAATATGTAACTATATCTTAATGTATCATGGGCACTTAACTAAGTATTGAGTAATCAACCTGGGGAAATGTTGATCCTTTAAAAAATTGTATTTAAGTATTCCCAGGCTAAACAAACAAACAAACAAAAAAAGTAAAGGAAAAAAGAAATGCAGGGCTGCTCTAGCCAGTTTGACTCAGTTTGACTGAAGGGTCCTGTCCTGGATTCGATTCTGGCTGTGGGGTCAGTCTCTGGCCCTGAGTCGGGGTGCATGGGAGAGGCAACCAATGTTAAATATTTTTACATTCACTGACAGAAATCAGATCTCTCTCACATCCACGCTTTTTTCATTCCCTCCCTTCCACTCTCTCTAAGTAAAATGATCAATTGATCATCAATTCTCAGGTGAGGATTACAAAAGGAAAGAAATGCAGGGTTTATCCTTGTATGCATTATTGGTGGGAATGTGGTGGTATAGTTGCTATAGAAAATGGTTTGTGCACTAGCCGGTTTGGCTCTCTGGCTAGAGAGTTGGCCTGCAGACTGACGGGTTCCAGGTTGGATTCCAGTCCAGGGCACATGCGTGGGTTGTGGGCTTGATTCTTCGAAGGGGCTGTGCAGAAGGTAGTTAATCAATGATTCTCTCATCATCGACGTTTCTATTTCTCTCTCCCTCTCCCTTCCTTTCTGACATCAATAAAAAAACATTTTTTAAAAAGAAAAGAAAATGGTTTGTCAGTTCTGGAAAAAGTTAAACAGAATTATGATCCAGCAATTCCATTTCATGTATCTGCTTAAAAGAAGTGAAAATAAGGACTCAAATAGATACTTGTACACTCAATTTCAGTAGCCAAAAGATAAGAGACAACCCAAATGTACATCAGCAGAAGTGATAAATCAAATTTATATACACAATGGAATATTATTCAGCCTTAAAAAGGAATGAAATTCTGATATATCTTGCAACCTGGATGAACCTTAAAAATGCCGTGCTGCCCTGTGTGGGTGGCTCAGCTGGTTAGAGCATCTTCCTGTGAACCACATTTGTGGATTCGAAGCCTCAGGCTGCCAATTTGAACAGGAGGCAACCTTTTGAGGTCTCTCTCTCTCTCTCTCTCTCTCTCTCTCTCTCCCCCCGCCCCACAATCAATAAAAACATATCCTCCGGTGAGTATTGAAAAAACAAAGGAAAACCTAAAACATTATAAAAGTGAAATAGGTCAGACACAAAAGGACAAATATTGTGTGTGATAATTAGAACAGGCAAATTTATAGAGACCGAAAAGGAGAATATAAGGTAGCGATGACTCGGAGAAGACAAATGAGGGGTTGTTGTCGACAGCTGCAGTGTGTCTGCCTGGGATGGTGAGAGGCTCCGGAAATGGAGAGCAGTGGTAGTGTACAACTTTGTGAATGTACTTAATGTTACTAAATTGTACACTTACAAATGGTTAAAATGTCAACCTTTGTGTTAAAATGTTTAACCACAGTCTCCAAAGAAATAGAAATAGAGGGTTTCCACCTATTTTTTTCTTTAAAAAAAAAAAAATATATATATATATATATATATATATGTATGTATGTATGTATTATGGATTTCAGAGAAAGGAAGGAAGAGGGAGAGAGAGATAGAAACATCAATGATAAGAGAGAATCATTGATTGGCTGCTTCCTAATGGGATCAAGCCCACAAGCATGTGCCCTTGAAGGAAATCAACCTGCGACCCTTCAGTCCAGAGGCCAGTGGTCTATCTGCTGAGCCAAACCACCTAGGGTTTCACCTATTTTTAAGAAAACATCATATGTGTATATATATATATGATTTCAAAGAGGAAGGGAGGAGAAAGAGATAGAAGCATCAATGATAAGAGAGAATTATTGATCAGCTGCCTCCTGCACGCCCCCCACTGGGAACTGAGCCTGCAACCCGGGCCTGTGCCCTTGACCAGAATCAAACCCGAGATACGTCGGTCCCCAGGCTGAGACACTATCCACTGAGCCAAGCCGGCTAGGACTGAAGAAAACATCTTGCACCCACTTTTAAATCCCGAGTTTGATCCTGTTTTCCTACCTATCCCATCCCCCCAGTTTTCCTTCGTGGGTGCTCTGTGAGGTTGAAGTGGCTTTGGTGGGTGTGGTGAGGTCAGGATCCACTGGTTTTGCTACCAGTAGGTTTGCTTCTTGCCTTGGTTAAATGTTTTGAGGTTGGAGGGTGAAGGAGGGACCATTTAAAATGGAAAAAACAATGCATGTTGGAATTCCCATCCCAACCGATAGAAAGCATGCTTTTGTGGCAAACGGAAAGGCTGGGAATCAGGGGCGATGACATACAGGCCTTCGTGCCCTCCCCGTGTCTGGTGGTGGGAATCTGTTCTGAATCCAACTGCAAGAGGAAAACCCATCTTGGGCCGCGCAGCCAGGGAGGCCCGCCTGCCAACCCCCAAATGTGCGCCGCGGAAAGTTTTTGGCCCCGAAAGTTTTTGGCCCCGGGAGGGTGGAACGAAGGCTGTCTTCCCAAGACCAGGCTGTCTTCCCAAGACCGGGCAGCTGTCAAGGCGGCTGTGCTGGGGCTGTCACCGGCCTCGCCGCTGAATCTTGGCAGTGACCTTGAGACTTGCCGGCTCTCGGCAGCAGCTGTCCTGGTTCTTGCTCTTTTGCCACTGTTGCATGGCCAGAGCTAAACTCTCCTGGCTCTGCCATGCACAGGACCTGGCAAGTTTCAACTCTGGTGCCGGCTCCCCCAGCACCTACCACCCGCTGGGCAGGGGGCAGCTCAGGTGTGTGCGTGGTGGTGGCTCCTTGTTCCTCCTCTGGCTCCGGGTCTGAATCCCTGGGAAGAGGGAGCTCCCTGTCCGTCAGCCTGGTCTGCCGGGTAGCTTGGGGGGTGGGAGGGTGGTGGGGTGGTGGGGAGGGGATGCTTAGTGACAGTTGTGGGAGAGATTTCTGTGGGGAAATGAAGGTCACAGCCATGTCCAGAGCAAGAGATACATCTTTTCTCTCCAGCCACACAGAATGGCAAGTGTATTTTGACACCCCCCACCTCCCCTTCCTGGTCCTCATCCTGTCCTTTTCCTTGTCCGTGGCTTATTTATTATTATTATTATTATTATTATTATTATTATTATTTTAAATCCGTCGTTGTCATCGGACATTTATTGACAGAAGTCGGACCGCTGTGTGTCCGGGCAGGGCGCCCGCTGCAGAGAGGTGTGGCTCCGGGGGAAGGAGGCACACACGCAGCCCGGCAGCTGAGCCGCCCCTGTCCTCACATGACCTCCCGCCTCCAATATCGCCAATATTTCGCCTTTGCCTTATAAAGTAAAAATGCACAATACCTTCCAGGGCCTCCGCAAGCCCAGACGCATGCACACACACACACACACACACACACACACCAGCGCCGCTATGTCTCCTGTATGTTGGAGGCAGGGCTGCGCCGCGTCCCCTCCGCCCCCTCCCCAGCGCCCGGGCGCGCAGACCTGCCCTCGGAGCCACCCAGGGGTTAGCGATCAGGGAGGCATCATCGATCGGAAGGATGGGATGGCGGGGCCCCGGGGCCCCGGTGGGCAGTGCCGGCGCCGCCGGAGCCTCCTGTGACTTCTCGGCGACCAGATCCTCCTCCTCCGCAGCGAACTCCATGTCGCAGCTTGGGGCTGCCTGTGTCCCTCGGTGAGAGCGGAGCCGCACAGGAGATCCTTTGTCTGGGAAGGCCGGGCAGGCGAGGCCGCCGCTTCAGGAGAGGAGAGGAGAGGAGAGGCGGCGGAGCCCTGCCCTGCCATTGGCTGCCCTCTCCGCGGGGCTGTTTTTGCAGAAGGCATGCCCAGCACGTCTACAGTGCTGGCAGGCCGGGGCCGCCCTGAAGCACCATGATAATCACACCAAAAAGCAGTGTGCAGGGCTGTTCCCCCGTGGAGGCTGCCTCTGCAGAAGCGGGCAAGATGGCTACCTCGTGGGCTTCGCCGTGAAGAATGCAGAGGCTAATTAAGACAGACTTTCAGGGGAAGGAAGGGTATCTCCCTGCTTCATCTTTCTGCAAGGCTGCTTTTTTTTTTTTTTTTTTTGCCAGTGACTTTTAAGTATATGCATTTTTCCATCAGCTCTCGAGCTGCTGCTTAGCAAACATGTTGATGCTTTGACATGGTCTAAGGAGTTTGACAGAGCAATAGTCAAAATCATTTTTTTTGGGGGGTGGGGGTGGGGGTGGGAGGTATTTTTTTTTGTTCTTAAATGGAAGCTTATTTTGCAATTTGATTTTTTTATTATTATTATCATTATTTTTTTTAGGTTATAAAGGAAAACAAGAGGCCCAAGAGGGAAAAGAAGCCCAAAGTTTTAAAGGTAACCAGCTATTGATTCAATCATATCAGTCTTTCCATTTCATCTAGTATTTTTCTGTCCCTGAGGGGTAAATCTGGAGTACAGGGGATGTGAATGTTCCCAGATTTTTCAGTAAATGGGTTTTCACTCAAGAAAAGGGTTTTCTCTCTCTCTCTCTCTCTCTCTCTTTTTTTTTTTTTGATGTGTGCTGCATAATGTGCATATTAGCATCCTTTATTGTCAACTCCACAGCAATCTGCAGAAGGAAAAGTTTATATGCAAAGTGTGGTTAATGAAATGTTTCCCTTTGTAGCTGCCTTAGTAGCATCTGCATTTGTGGTGTCACCAGAGTGTCAACTTAGCTCCTGAGGAGAAAGACACTCTTTCAAGTTGACAGCTATGATCCGTTATGATTTTAATAGACTTTCCATTAGACACTGTTTTAAACTGTATGATTTTCCTTTCCAAAGGAAAGATCCTTAGAGATTTTTTAGTTCAACCGAAAATGTGTAAGCCATTGAGATCTTACAAGCCAAATGATCCTTGCTTAATCCTAAATCATCATGCTATCATCTTTAATTTTGACAGTCTTAGAACTGTAGGAATATGCATGTTTTCTTTATTTTCAGTCGTTTACCTGATGAGTCTTGAGCCATCACTTAATCTGATAGAAGCTAGTAATTCCTGTTATGAGCTTTGTACAGTGTGGAAAAGGGTTAACTTAAAAGCATAAGGCATTGCTAAAAGTTGGAGGCTGGCTTTAGTCTAGCAAGTGAGTGCTAAAGGTTTCGCTTCCAGTGGTGTGTTGCTATGATAAATGTAAGCACCCTGAGCAAGCAACCTTTTCCACTCAAGAAGACACTAGGCAATAAGACTGCTGGTCTGTAAGATTGTACTGTGCACCTGTAATGTGAAGTGTCTTAACCTTGTCATAGCTTTTCTTTTGCAAACGAAGTCTTAGCATTCAAAGAGGAACAGCATGTTGAATTGTGAATGTGGCAAATTTTTATTTCACCCGCCGTTTCCCGGTGTGCATCTTGGAAATGTGATGGGCACGGAGAACCAAACCTTGCATTGCTCTCTAATTTTGTCTGATCACCTCGAGTTTCTGTTTCCTGTGTGTACACAACATTGCCGTTGTTCATCAACCAACACGTATTGATTTAATATTTACCATACAGTCATCAGTGTGCGAGGCATGATAAAGGAATGAAATTGCCTGGCACAGATTCTCATTTGGCCTGGACAAATAGAATACTGGTTATTTTCAAAGTAAATTAAACTCTCTTCTGTGTGTGTGTGTCTTCGTATGCGTTTTTTTTTTTTCCTTCTTCCCCCTGCATATTGATCCACCCACCCCCAACTATATCAGTATATAACCAAAAGTCCTACTTGGGTGTTTTGTCTTTTTTTCTTTTCTTTTAATAGAGACATTATTTATTTTTAAATTTTACATACATATATATATATATCTATATATATATATGTATTGATTTTTTGCAGAGAGGAAGAGAGAGGGATAGAGAGTTAGAAACATCGATGAGAGAGAATCATTGGTTAGCTGCCTCCTGCACACCCCCTACTGGGGATGTGCCCGCTACCAAGGTACATGCCCTTGACTGGAATCGAACCCTGGACCTTTCAGTCCTCAGACCAATGCTCTATCCACTGAGCCAAACCTGTTTCGGCGGGTGTTTTGTCTTGATATCTTCAAGGGAGAAATAGTTTTAGCCCTATTGTTAATAAATGGCTTGGAAATTTGTGGGAGGAAGTAAAAGGAAAAACTATATGGACAAACTAATCTAGACTAAGCTTGGTAGCTTAAATCCACCCATCTTTGCGAGGATGCAGAATCGGGCCATGGTAGTACTACTTAATTCTGTGTTTTGTTGGTGTGTGGGTGTGCTGTGGCCTGAAATAAATTTCAGAAATAAATATACGGTGTGTTGCTTTTTTTGAATAATGGCAGTGGACTCTGACTTGTTAAAAAATAAGTGGTTGAAATTCATGTGCCAGAACAGAACTGAATTCTCGCTCTCTTTCCTCCATAGTTATCAATTATTGTACAAGAGTAGGGGAATGCCCTGAAATGGGGAAAAAATATTTTTCTAATGTTGGCATTTTAAAATATTTTATCTCTGTTCTGTGGACACATTTAAAAACTTTTTTTTAAAAGAAAGCTTTCTCTGCATTATAGAAGAAAAATTTGCTATTTTAGCTTGGTTGTGTAAAATACAGTTAGAGCAAATGTAGAATATTATAAAACCCTGAAGGAGATGTTAGCAAAACGAATTCCACATTTTGGGGAGGAGAGAGGGGGAAGAGTACAGCCTTCAGTTTAAGTTTGTCCGGATACAGACTTCAAAACCAGCTGGCTGTTCCCAGGAGAGCAATGACAGGACCTACAGGTTACAACTGGTCTCCTTTCGAATCCTCTCTTTGCCTTTGGCCTTGTAGTCTGCTTCCTTTGACTCTGGCCTCTTGGATTTTCAAATATCTTGGGTCCTTTGTGTTTTTTTTTTTTTTAGGTAGATGCTGTAGGTTACCTTGACTAACTTTCATCCTCATCATCTATGAAGAAGTGGTTGGGTAATAAAGATTCTGATTAAGGAAACTGGGTATAGAATTGAAGCTCTCACTGATAAACACAGACTAGTTGTGGGCTCACATTTCTTGGTGTGTCTCACACCTCATCTTTGAACAATCTGTATCTGTGACCTATATTCGTTCTACTGTAACTCAAAGCTATAAATTATAGACATTGATCCCAAATTCCTGACGAGAGAGACCCTTCTCTCGCTGTAACGACAGTTTCTGGGAATCAAGGCAGGTGATGGAGGGGGTGGCAGGCCAGCACAAACTCCTGCCCCTCCCGATGCTATAGGACCAGGTTCCTGCCCAAGGCCCATCAATGATCACAGGATTGTTTTCATATGTAATCTGCAGCTGTGCTATAATTCATTCCATGACTCCTGAATAAAGTAAAGGTGTGAAGTAATTTCAGGCCTTGGTCCTTGAAATTTGACTTGTGAGTGGCATCATCTGGAACTTCCCTTGGTCAAAACATTTATGTAAAAATAATCTTTGCTTTGTGTATTGGGGGTAGAAGGATATAATCCCTTAAAGTCCATTTTGGGGTAACATCGCTTTGGTTAGGCTGTCAGTCTTGGCCCCCCCCCCGGAGAAATTGGGGGTATTGAGGGTAACTTAATAAAGGAGTTGTTTGCAAGGTGTGGGCAGGCTTATGGATAAAATAAGGTTCTAATGACATCAGAGAGCCATTGCCATGCCTGGGCCTGCAGGGGCGGGAGGGGTTGGGCGCAGGGAGAAGGGTTGCAGGTGAACACAGCGAGCGGAGGTTCTGTTGTGGGCCTTGGGTAAAGGACCTTCCTGCACAGAGAAAGCTGTAGCGTGGAGGGAATGGAAATAAATCCCTCCAGTTCCCTGTTGCTTTCTGTGGTTGCTCCGCCTCAGAAGTGAAAAGCAGAGGGAGCGCACTGATGAAGTACGTCTTGGTCAGCCTTCCCTGGCGTGTAAGGACCGGGCGGACACACAGCATATGTAGCATCACTGGTGACCAGAGGGCAGCCTGGTAGGGTCAGAAATAGTACTAGACCCATGCGTACATTGAGGGGGCAGTGGGAGACATCTGTAACACTGTCAACAACAAAATAAACTTCTAAAAGCTTTTTAAAAAGAAGGTAACATCAGGCAAGGCTGGGGGAAGTATATAGAACTCTATTATTTTTTTCAATTAAACTATATAGAAATATATACTTTAATTTGTCAATGAAAATGTATGGAACTCTTATTTTTTCAATTAAACTATAAATCTAAAGTCATTTCTAAATAAATGTGAGCATCCCTGAGAGAGTACCCTATTGGTACATTCTGTAATTAGATGCCCTTTTGAGGCTGGTAAGGGACATTTTCTAGCGATTTGATTATAAAATACCTTCCGAGTAGTATTTGGAGTCTGAGTGAACACATGTGAAGCAATATCAGTGGGTAGGAAACCAGGACGCAGACGACAGATGGTTTAGAAAAGATGAAAACGAGGTGATCTGCCCACCAGCTTCTGCCCTAGCAGCCCTGCTCTTCCGTTTTCTTCCTTAATGGTGGCGATGAAGGAGAGCAGGTGACGGTGGAGTGATGGGGAGTGGGGAACATATAAGATGTATATTTCACTGGCGTGTTACATATATATATTTGTTAATCTTCACTCGAAGATATTTTTCCATTAATTTTAGGAAGAGTGCAAGGGATGGAGAGAGAAAGAGAAACATCAATGTGAGAAAGATACTTCGATTGTTTGCCTTCCCCACATGCCAATCTGGGCTGGTGATCGAACCCAGGTTTTGCCCTTGACCAGGAATCAAACCAGAGATCCTTTGGTGCATGGGCTGGTACTTTTTTTTTTTTTTAATATATTTTATTGATTTTTTTTTTTTTTTTTCCAGAGAAGAAGGGAGAGGAATAGAGAGCTAGAAACATAAATGAGAGAGAAACATCGACCAGCTGCCTCTACTGGGGGGATATGTCCACAACCAATGTACATGCCCTTGACTGAAATCGAACCCGGGACCCTTCAGTCTGCAGACTGACTCTCTATCCACTGAGCCAAACCGGTTTCGGCTGATCTGGTACTCTTAACTGTTGGGCCCCATCGGTCCGGGTCATGCTTACATACCTTGAAATATGTTTTTAAAAGGAAAACCAAATCATATATTAATCAGTTTCATACATCATCCTGATTTGCATGACGTAGTGACATTCAAAATATTTAGTATTACTACATTGCACAATCAATGCTTAATAAATCTTTCCTGAACACCATTATTATTAACATTCTTAAATATTTTAGTACAGATGAAATGCTGGTGCAACAATAGTCTCTGCCTTCAAGGAGACTAAATGGTGCTGAGGAAAGGCGGGCCAATAAGAAAATTAAAGACAAATGGATAAATTGCAAGTTGTGGTAGGAAACCAAAAAAAAACTGCTGAGAGAGGGAAAACACCAT